CCCCCCCCCCCCCCATCCTCTTTCCTGCTGTAAATAGAACCACCAGCATGAGACGCCCGAACCTTCGTAAGTCTTGGCCTTCCTATGTTTAGATCAAGCGCCACAAACTTGGCCCTTTAGAAGCTGCTCCCTCGAAGCCTTACTTTGGTAATCTGAACAGCAGTACGCGTGCCACTCCGTCAGCCGCCGAGCAACCAGAAAATCAAGATATTGCTGCGAATCCTCGCAAATATGTATTTATCTTTGTATAGTGCCAAACGACATGGAGCGATGGGTTACCGTCGACGAGCTGGCGAACACTGACTGATTAGGAGTGCTTATGAAGCTTGGCTGACCTCGAGGTGTTTGTCTTCGTTCTTTTTAAACTATCTTCTCGATGGGCCAACCCTTCGTCTGTTGTGGCATAATAATTTATGACTTCCCGTATACCTGGTATATTGTCGGCAACATCCCCTGTGGGGCATCTATTGGAAATGTCTCACAAACAACCTAATCTGTTTAGAAGTACAAGGATGGGAGTTAGGGGACTTTCCCGACTTTTGTATTCTTTGCAATATTGGGATGTATATGCATTTAAATCATCCAAGTTTTGAAATGCAATGTCCCTTAGAATGTGAGATGGTTTACAATAGTCGTACCACTGTTTCCGCCACTCCTTGTTTAAAATGGCCCTCCCTGACAGTATGAGAAGCACACCTGCATGAACCCCACATTTTTAGTGTTTTAGCGCTAGACTGCTCGATTCAGCATCTGCAACTTCATGTATTTGCTTTTTAACAAAATTTTAACAATTCGAAGTGAAACAAATATTTTTTGAGGTAAATTTTATCTTATCTCTGGCTTCATTCTAAGCTTTTCTTCAGATTTGCTGCTTGAATCTTGTAGCTCTGCTTGGACAAATTTTGTGCGGCATCATTCGAATTTTTGACTCAATTTTTTACACTTTTTCCGCTTACCTAGAGTTTTTAGCACCCCTTTACAAGCAAAGATGATATTGGTCGCTTTTCCCTTCTCACTCGCTACCTCACAGGTATATCAGAGAAATAAGTGATGGACCTAGAAAAAACATAGCCTAAACAAGCGGTCTGCGCTAAGACAGGGCCAGACTTGTGACATCCTTTAGCTGCCTCTAACTGTAGAGGTGAGGTTAAAAACAAACTGTTCGAAGGGGCAGTGAACTGCTCCGAAGGAGGCGAATGGCAGGATGCTAAATTAAAGCATTAATTAAATTAAGAAAAACTTACGCTGCTGCGTCTTGTTCAGCAGAAACTGGTTTTAATGGCTCATTTCGTTAATTAGTTCTCCTGTCTTTGTCATTTTAGGCGGAGGCATTTGGAAGTAGTCCATCTGGCAACAAGTACTAGCAGCAATTATCAACAGGGCTGTCGAGAACTTCTTTCAAAGATTGCTTAGAAGCAAGCTGATGGTGAAATTGGCTCGCTGGCATGCGCTGCCGCGTTAAGCGATGTTTATTGAAGAGTTTTAGATTTTAGTGATTTATGTACATGTTTGGGATCTCAGTGATTAATAATCATTACTTTGTCTTAAATCTGTACGTTTAGTGTTTTTGTCAAATATGTATGAACGTGTTGATGAAAACGGATTGTCAGGAGCGGCTAAAGATCTTGGGTTGTCAAAAACAGATTCGGAGAAAGTGGCAAAGACCGCAGGCCAGGGCGGCTTGCAGAACTTTGGAAAATATCGGAAGCTTCGCTGCTGGACGCCGGTATTTTTGCCCTTGCGCGCCAACATTGTTCTTTTTAATTTTGCATTCTGAATATTCGCAGTTTTGCCTTTAATTTTGCATTCTGAATATTCGCAGTTTTGCTGAAGCACGAATAAATAGTTGATGCACGAATACTTCCGTCTCATTCTTCCCTCTCAGGTAAAGCTGACATATCTGTCAGCTGACAAAGAGAAAGAGAAGGGAGCGACTGAGATAATCCAGGGCATTGTGCATGCATTCCGTGTTTACCTTTGGAACATATGAGCGAGAGTTGTGTGTTAGTGTGACAGAAACACCAAGTAAGATAGTTTATAGAAGGAATGAAGTGTGACAAGTACAATGCAACATGGGCGATGATTGCTCAACACAGAGTTGCGACGATGAATGGAGATGGATAAAAGTGGGCCCAGACAAAGCAACTTGCTTCCTTCACAGGGATTAAGCATTGCCGAGTGACATGCAGCAGAAAGAGATATGCATGAAATTTAGTGGCGAGAAGTTAGGTTTGCCTTGGCTATTCCTCTCGATTAGCGCCCTTCTTCTTGGTTGATGGTTTTTTCCGTGAGCTTCCCTCGTCCTCCTGCTCCGACGATGTGGATGCCACCAGTGAACGCGTTAGTTCGCTCTCTTCTGACAGATTCCTGAATATTTATGCATAAAAACCGGTATAATCATGCCAGTCGCTCTAAGGATTGATTGTGAGGAAAAAGAAAAACAACCTTAGTGGCCTTGGCCCACTGATGCTGTCAACGTCACGTTTGGATCTAACACTGTTTTGTCGCTGCAGTTCTAACGGCATGAATCTAAATAAAAAGTAAATTGAAGCAGATTGTCTAGTTCTCAGTTAAGAAACCTAAAAAATCCTCTCTGCGAGAAAAATTGTGAAACTCCCGAGCACTGCGAGTAGCAAACACCGCCCTCGGTGGTTCTTTCTCTAAAGAGTTGCCTAGAAGCAATTTGCCGGCTCTTTTGATTTCTTGGCATGCGTCAGCATCAATTTATCATAAAAATAAATGAAAAATTGCAGAGAGACTCATTCTCCTTATTGGGTTATCGACTTTTAGTTTGCATCTGTTGCTATTTGCAGCCAGACTTTGCAGGCTAGCTTATTTTTGGCTAGGCATTCACAAAACGAACCTTTTGGTTTCGCTCTCATCCTCTGATCCGCTTTGATACTTTAGCTTTTGTTGGATTACTAATCCAACAATTATGATGATCACTACTATGAAGATTGCTGCCGGAATCGAGACAAGCTGCAAATTTGGCTCATTTAGGGATCTCGGGATTCTCTCTGTCCTTTCTAACGCCAGCGGTTCGTTCGATGTGTCCCAGCCCACCTATATGTACCATAGGTAATTTTATCGCAGGTGTTAAATAAGCTGCTTTTGGAAGTAATTACTTACAGCCAGTGAATCCGTAAACAAGAAATCAGCAATGAGCTGCATTTTTGAGCTGTATTTCAGGCACTTTGCTTCAAGGCTTTCGCGAGTATCCTCTCAAATTTCATTCTTTAGCTTACAAGATATTAGCACTATGCAACTTCTCTCGCAATTTCAGTGTGTTTTCACATTTTCCTGAGAATGAACATATGCAGAGCGGGGTTCGAGATATGGGAAGGACGAGAGAGAGGGAGCGATGATTTTAACCTGAATGTTGTTGCCCCGCCTGTTGCCCTATACTGGTCAATTTTACAAATTAAG